CCGAGTGAGCCACGGGCCGGCCCCATCTGTCTGTATTTTCTGTATGCTTTTGCAGAGTTACCTTCCCTAGAGTGGAATCTACATAATAAAAATAGCTAGTATTTATCATTAATAGCATATAACACGTGCTAAGCACTATTCTAATCATTTGTCTCAACTTTACAGATGAGAAATAAGGCTAAAGTGGTTAAGTAACTTGTCCAGGCTCACACAGCTAGTAAAGTAGCAGAGTTGCATCATACTAGGGCAGCTCAAGTCAGATCCCATTTCTGTCAGCTCGTGTTCTGTCTGCTGGCCCTTGTCTAAGCTGGGGCAGGCTTGGTAGGAGGGAGGAGTCAGGTGGAGTGCCCAGTGCCTGATGGCCTTAGCTTCATGCCCCCTGCCTGGCACAGCTGTTCGACTTGCTCAACAAGAAGGCCAAGCTGCGTGTGCTGGAGGACGGCAAGCAACAGGTGCAGGTGGTGGGGCTGCAGGAACACCTGGTAAACTCTGCTGATGATGTCATCAAGATGATCGACATGGGCAGCGCCTGCAGGTCAGAGTTCTATCCAGGGGAAGGGACCACCTTCTAATGCCTGCTTCAGTTTTGTTTCCACAGAGCGTTGCTTCTCCACAGCTTGGTAAGGGCTGTGAAAGCCTCTGCTTGAAGGGTCTCAATGGGGCAGATGACTCGGGGCCAGAGGCTCATCAGAACCAAGTCAAAGCATCTTAAATCTAACCCAGGCAGGCTTTATTCACAGGCTGTTAGCCCAAAGACATGCTTCCTGGCTTATTTGGGATTCTCCTTGTTCTTCCTTCCCTTTGTGGTAAAAGTCAGGAGCTCTGGGTCTGTTCTGGCTGGAAGTATTGGGGCTGTAGCTCCTCTGCACAGAAGTAGGGAAGCACTCTTCTATCAGGGCCCTAGGTGTGGTGCAGTGGGGTGTGGGCAGCTATGGAGGCCCAAGGAGGGGCTGTCCTCTGCCAGGCCCTCAAGTTCTAGCAAGTGGTTCATGCTAGTCCCCTCTCCCTTCCCTGTGTGCCCTTGTAGCAGAGGCAGCTCATCCTTCTCCATATCCTTATGGGCCCCCAGGTCTGGCCAAGGCCCTAGCACAGAATCCAGTACTAATTTGGACACCAGGAAAATATATTAGGTCCAGAGCTGGAGGGAGATCTGCTGCCCAGGAAGGGCAGAATGGAAGTCTGGGACAGGAAAACACAGGACTTCTTAGCATCCTGACCTGTGTCCCTCTCTTACCAAAGAACCTATTGCTATGGACTGAGGTGGTTTGGACTCTG